CTGCCCTTGCCGGGCCGCGGAGCCGGCCGCGTGGCGGGCCCTCGGCCCCCTCCCCCTCCGCGTCGGGCCCCTTCCTCCCGGCTCCCCCTCGCCGCCACCCTCCGTCCGCTCCCGGTAGATTGGAAGCTCGGGCTTTTTGGGGTGCACGCCCCCCTTGACCTAGGTATATGTTTATTTGTTTGTTCAATTAAAGTAAAAGATCGTAACAAAATAACGGGCTCGAGGGAGAGGAATGTGGCGAAGCGTTTGCTCCCTGTTTTCTTTCTTGCGGTTGTTATATTTATGGCTTATAATCTGTCGCAGGCGTGTGCAGAAAGGGAATGTTAAGATTTGGAGAAATTAAAATATTCCCGTTCAGTGCTCTGGGTACTTCCATTTCCCGGAAATTCTGGTTACCCTTTGAGAAGGTGCGGGGTTCGGGGACGTTTCCATTAGGACGTGGATAGCGAAATTAGTTTAGCCCTACCGTACGTGAAGTACAGGCTTTGTTCTCGCCAATTCCCTTCACTGCTTCGCGTTGCCTTCAGAATTTTTTGGAAGAGACCTCATCACAAGATGAAGTTTTCTATTTCTCAGATCACCTGCAAACAGAAAATAAAGGGTTTTGGTGTTGATGATTAGCTTGCATGGTTTACTTTCTTGAGATATGTCCTTCTTAGGTCATTTTGACATGTATTATTCCACAACTTACATATATTTGTGACTAATTTTTCAGACTTTGTGTACGACTATTGTCTACCCCAGTCGCCCACATTTGGGGGTCATAAGTGGCTTGTATTTTTAAAGTGTTAGAATTGGTAAGATACTGTAAAAGGAAGACATTAGCGATGTTTGTGTACCACCTGATGCCGCTGTACCTTTTATGAAAAATTAAGGCAGGTCAAAACAAATTGTCCCCCTGTAAGTTTTGTTTTTCCTGTTAATGTAAATAGTAACAGATCCGGTTATAAACTGCACTTTTCGCTTCCAAATTCTTGGGTCCTAGCTTTCCTTTATTAAAAAGAGGTGTTGCGTGTACATTTTTGTATGTTCTTAAAGTCAGCTCTTAAGGTTGGTATTTAGGAAACTTGTCTGTTTCAAGTCGCCCAGGAATCCCAGCGAGAACTATGGGTAGGTCACACTGTTTGGGGCCACAGTCCTTTCACTGATTGAGATATTACAGGTGAATAACTGTTGCTTATAACAACTTTTCTAAGGGTGTGAACATAAAAATTTGAGATCTTTTTATGATGTTTTAGGTCTGAAGATTTACGGCGCGAATTTGGTCGTTATGGTCCTATAGTTGATGTGTATGTTCCGCTTGATTTCTACACTCGCCGTCCAAGAGGATTTGCTTATGTTCAATATCCTTTCTTCAGATGGCTGATTAGTGAGGGGTGTTGAAGTTTGAAATTCAAGTTTATGTAAGTGGTAATATCTAAAAAGTAGTTTATTTTTGTTCTCTAATGTCTTATGTCTTCAGATTTTTAAAAATTAATTCTGACTCGTGTTGCTCTACTTCTTAAAGTTAATCCAAAAATAATAAAGTCTTTAAAATTCCCATTCATGCTACTGAAATTCAAATCAATGATTATAACGTGTGATTTAAATTTGAATACACTCTGGTTGATACCACCTTTAATTAAGTCAAATTAAAAGTTAATATGTTCTTGTGCTTAGCAAAGTTTGGTGTTCTTGTTTGTTAATTTGAATCACTTGATCAAAAACAAATTGTTTAAAAATGAGGTAAACTTCTTGAATATTGTCCCCTAATTTGCTGTCCTCTGTTGTTACCTCAGAGAATGTAAAGCTGTACAGTTATGGCGACCCCAAAGAGAAAGCATGAAAGAACCTTTAGAGTAGAGTTCTACACTTAAGGCAAGTAGACAAGCCAAAGACCTCTTAAGGATCAGGCTTGAAGAGAAGGGAGAGTTTGGGAAAAGAAAAAATAAAGAAAAGCTGGAAGAAGGACAAGCCTAATGGGAGACAAAGCCTCGCTTTATCTACAAAAGGGGGAAAAGGTTGTTTTTCAAAGTTAAAGATAAAGCCATCTGTCATATTTGGCCAAGCATCTCATGACAAGTCCTTCTGACAAGCACTTAAAGAGTTAAAGGTCAAGATGAAGTTGAATGATGGCCAAGATTAAAGGAATCATACCTGATGTATCCTACAGAATAACTTTTTTTTTTTTTCCTTTTTTTGATGTTTTCTAAGCAGTTAATTTTCAGAATTACTATGGTTTGGTCTAGTGACAAAACCCGTAACTCGATTTTTGTGGGCCTTTGATGTTGTGATTGTGGTCTTGTATAAATGCACTTTTTCTTAGCTTATCAAGTTAAAGTGTAATGGGATATAATATTGTTAAGCTTAAATAATTGAGCATATCTCAGTTTGGACCAGGTTGTCAGTTACCACAGAGTAGCAGGTAGCCACTTTTGGAGTAGTGTGATGTTCTGGGATCAAGGCACAGCTGTGCTTACAGGGGAGACAGGTGCATGCACTGGGGGCTACTTAGAAACAGCTCTAGTGGACTAACAGGGTCGGATCCACTAGCAGTATGGTTTAGAAATTGATTTAAGTTACTGCTGGGGACACACAAAAACTCTTAAGTTTTGGAACTTAGCTCTGTGTAGGTTGGTGGCCTTGCACTGCTTTAGCACATGTGATCTGTTAGCCCTGAATGGGCTGCATAAGACCTTCTGCCTGGTGTGGGTACCTCATCAGAATCTGTGAGAAATCAGCCCCTGACCAGGTGACCTTACTTCCTCTGTTCAGTGAGATCATCTCCCTGTCTTATTATAACAACAGAGGTTTAGACTGTGGATCTCAGGCTATGAAAATTTCTTCATACTTAAATTTAGCGAGTCTCTGATGCTTATGGGAAAAGGCCAAAAACTGCTCCTGTAGGGTCAGCAATCAAGGACAGTTGTAGGATTTGGTTGCAAACCTCTGTTACAGACAAGATGGTAACCGTATGTGACTTGGTAAATAAAGATGGCGATGCATTCTGGCTTGCAGCATTGACCTCATTTTACCTGGTTTGGAGTGGCCTGGGAACCAGGGTCAGCAGTAGTTCGAGGCAGGTGTGTGATACTTGAACCAGAAAAGGGCTTCAAAACCCTGGTCATGCAAAGTAATCTAAAGGAGAATGATAATTTTCGTACATATTCGTAAGTCTTTCTGTGGTCTTAAAAAAGAAATAAGGCTTATCAGTTTTTTTATTGGAAAGACTCTGAAGTCATTTCTCCGGGACTAGCATCAGAGAGATACGTGGCTATCTCCACTGCTGCTGTCTCTTCTACCTGACTCTGTTCCCAGTTAGCTTTTTCTTTCTATCCTCGGCTTAACAGGTAAAGTAGAACCTAACCTTGCCACTTGGCCCAAGATTCTGTTTTTGAGGGTAGTCCCAGAGGATGCGCTGCTCACAGTTTCTTAGCTCTCAATGTAAATCCTTTTTTAAATTACTGCATTTTTGTCTTTTGGAATAACAAAATAATAATATACCCACCGAGTGAACTTGTTCCTTTTTATTAGTTTAGAGTCCAACTGCATTAAACTCAAGGGATGTTCAGCTATAGTATTCAAGGTTCTAAATGCACATCAGTCTTTGCCTTTTCATGTTGAGTGCCCAGTACTTAACCTACACATAATGGCCTCAGGAAGAGAGTGGGAAATCGGGCAATGCAGACAATTTAGTCTCTGGAATAAAAGAACACAAACAATTAGTGTCAGTCTTGAAAGGAGTGTGTCACTTCAGGATTTTTGTTTTGTTTTGTTCTTAAAGAGAGATTTTTGCTATAGGTCGCGTGCACTTACCAGACAGAGAAAATGAGAAATCATCCCCCAGGAGGGTGAACATACCCCAGTCCCTTTTCTTCCATTCTCCTATTGGTATTTTGGGTAGGCATGTGCACATTCCTGGCATGAGTTTCAAGCCACCAGGTCTGGGACTCGAACCAAGTTCAGCCATGTGGGAGTCCAGCACCTTAACCACTGTGCCACCTGCTGGCCCCCAGGGATGTTTTTAATCAGCTCTCCAAATCTTCACACTTCTGTTTTCAAATTTAAGACATTGAAATGGGCAAGCTAGAATAGTGATTTATTTGGTTTGTTTTTCAGGGTAGAATGAAAACCTATATCCATACCTAACTGGCCTCCTCTTCCAAATCTTTTATATCAGACACTGCCTCGAGTGTGTACTTGGCTTTCATTAGAATGTTGGTTTTAGGAAAAGAGAGAGTTATGAACAGACTAATTATAAAGTCAGAGTTCTTAGTACTGTTGCTAATGTGGGGCAGTGTATAAGGCAGCCTAGCTTCCACATCAGAAATGAGTATTAGCAATTCCTGCTTAAGGCTGCTAAATGTTATCTTGAAGTTCTCAGGCTGGATGTCAGTCTCAAACCCACTTTGTAGGAAGCTGTATATTCAGTCTAAGGGTTGGGCTTTCCAGCCTGGGAGTCCGTACAGTGGACTATTGTTTCTTGACAGTGTACAGTTACAGTCTGTGGATGGATGTAGTGTACTCTTGGTACAGTGAGTGTCTTGATAACCCAAGTGGCTAAAAAAGCAGTCTTTCCCACTCATAAAAACCAAGGGGGCTAGAAAGCCAGTCTTCCCTATGCAGACAGTTGCATGAGACAATAGTATACCCAGATCTGGAGAAAACAAAATAAGTTTGGGGTTAATGCTTTCATCTTTATAAGGTAGGGTATATTCTGCTTGCTTACACAAGAACTATTGGCATTTTCTTTTTTCCTTTTTTTTTTTTTTTTCCATTTGAAACAAATATATTAAAAAAATACCTTGGTTTTAGAAAGTTTTTGTTTTGGCATCCAACAGAATTGACATTTGTTTTTCTTTTTGTCTTGTTTTGCAAAATTCTTTAAAAATCAGGAAGAATTTTTTTGATAGGATAACTTGGTGATTCAGCTATAACAGGTCTTATTTCCATAACTATTGGATCTAGTCACATATGTTTTGCCTTAGGAAATCACAAGTGCTTTTTTAATATTGTGAAGTGTTCATGGCTGAATCAACCAACTAATAAGTGGGGTCTGATTGATTTTCTAAAACAGTATTGGGAGAGTGTATTGTTCCAGACTTAACCAACTGAACTTTCATCACCAAAGTTTGCAAAATTTCCCAAGCCCCTTAACATTTAGCACATTTGAGGACGTTCGAGATGCTGAAGATGCTTTACATAATTTGGACAGAAAATGGATTTGTGGACGTCAAATTGAAATACAGTTTGCCCAGGGGGATCGGAAGGGTAAGCACCCCTTAGTATAACATAATATTTTGAGATCTTGGAAGTATTTATGCAGTTTGTCTATCTGCAAAACCTGAAAAGATTGTTTTTAAGAAGATAGAGTATCTTGAATGCATCAGTACTTTTAAAGAAGTATCACAGGGCCTCACAGTAGGTGTAGGTAGAATGTATGGGGAGCTCAGAATACCTGAAATATGTTTGGGCTTTTCACAGAGTTGATCAGTACTATCAGCTATGGCATGTATAATACATTGTGGGTAGAACTGAAAGGTATAAAACCAGGAAGGTTTTAAGTGTCTTTAAAAAATAATCTTAAAAGTATAACTAGGTAATTATGTGGGTATATGGCTATAGAAATGAAGATAGATTTATACTTAGAACAGCTAGATTAAACATAAAGTAGATTTTATATTAGTACATTCATATGCCACACGATGTTTTAGTCAGCAGTGGCCTGCATGTACAGTGGTGGTCCTGTAAGACTGCATAGCCTGGCTATGTAGAAGGTAAGCTATACCTTCTAGGTTTATTAAGTACACTGTGATGTTTGCAGCATGGTGATTAAATTGCCTTCCAGTGCATTTCTCAGAATGTATCCTTATTGGGAACCAGCAGTTAGCGTAATGGCTATGTTGCTGGACTCCCACATAGTCAACCGCGGTTCACGTCCCAGACCCGGTGGCTTCAAACTCACGCCGGGCGCATGTGTGTGCTTGCCCAAGGTCCCGAGAGGAGAATGGAGGAGAAGGGATTGCGGCGTGACCATCCCCCCTGGGGGGTGATTTCTCACTTTCTGTCTCTATGTCTCTGTCTGTCTGGCAAGCGCATGCGCCCTATAGCAAAACCTCTCCCCCAAAAAAGGAATGTATCCTTATTGTGGATCAACACAGGTATTCAGTTGTTTGGTTTTAGATTTTTGCCATGGGACACATGAGCTCACCAGAGAGAGAGAAAGTGGGAAATCACTCCCCAGAGGGGAGTCCTGTAGTCCTCCTCCATTCTCCTCTTGAGATTTTGGGCACACACACACATTCACCTGGCATGATTTTTTTTAAGTGATATTACTATACAGCCAGAGGTATGAGAGAGAGACAGAAACAGAAAACGAGAACCCCCCCCAGATGGCCAGGCAACAATCTGGTCTCCATCTCCTCTTGGGATCATGGGCACACGAGCGTGCACACACGTGACCATCATGAGTTTTAAGTTGCTGGTCTGGGACTCAAATTGTGGTCAACTACATGGGAGGCCGGTGATAACACCATCTGCCGATTCCTCCTGGCAAGATTTTAAAGACACCGACCAGGTCCAATTCTCGAACTGCAATCTGCCATGTGGGAGTCTGGTGCCTTAACTGCCATGCCACCTGCTGCTTCCTCCCTTTTTTTAATGCAGGCATACATACACCAGGTGTTAGCTCCATACTGATGATACAGCATGGGTTTTGAGGTCAAACACCTGGGTTTGAATTGTGGCTCAACCATTATGTTAACTGGGTAAGATACTGAAAGATAGAGGTTGAATTAGCTGCTAAATAAGGAGCACTTAAAGTAAACAAACACTATTAGTAATTCTCTAGTTCTTGGCTTTGGTGATGGGTTTACTATGGTGTTTATATGTGCATACACATATACCTATGAAATCACTGCTTCATAGAGTTTAAATAAATAAAGGTAAATAAAATAATTATTTTAAAAAAAAAAAAAAAACTCATACTGGGTGTGGGTGTGTGTATATGTGCACCCATAATCCCAAGAGGAGAATGGGAGACAAGGGATTGCAGCATACCCCTGGGGTATGATTTTTCACTTTCTGTCTGTCTCTCTGGTGAACACATGCATCCTATATCAAAAATCTCTTAGAGACCAGCACATGGCATAATGGCTACATCACTGGACTCTCATGTAGTCGACCACGGTTTGAGTCCCAGACCCAGTGGCTTAAACTCATGCCAGGTACATGTGCGTGTGTGCCCGCCCACCCAAGATCCCGAGAAGAGAATGGAGGAGAAGAGATTGCAGCGTGGCCATCCCCCCAGGGGGTGATTTCTTGCTTTCTGTCTGTCTGTCTGTCTTTCTGGCAAGCACACACACCCTGTAGCAAAAACCTCTCCAAAATAAAGAAATGAAGGAAGGAAGGAATTCATTAATAGATGGTTACGTTGCTGGACTCCCACATAGTCGACTGTGGTTTGAATCCCGGACCTGGCAGCTTAAAAAACTCATGCTGGGCACATGTGCATGCATGCCCAAAATCCTGCGAGGAGAATGGAGAAGAAGGGATTGAGATGTGGCCATCCCCCTGGGGAGTTCTTACTTTCTGTCTCTCTGGCAAGCGCACATACCCTTTAGCAAAAATCTCTCCCCCAAAAAAAGAATTGAGGACTGCCCAGAAGTATAGGTATATAAGGTATTCAGTAAATATTAGTTCATTTCTACCTTTATTTTGGTCATATGAGGTCTCTCAAAACTGTAAGTATATATTACTGCATTTTACCACTATGTGTTGTTTATAGGCCACCAATAAGTATTTTGTTATTGTTAATTGTGTTTCTAATGGATAGAACCCATGCGAGGTAATTCCAAGTTGGTACATGGTTCAAATAGCATTTGATTTGGAATTGTTAAAAATACATTTATGGAGTAGGGCCTGCAGGTGGTGTGATGGTTAGGGGCACTGGGCTCCCACATGGCCAACCATGGTTCAAGTTCTGGACCTGACTGCTTGCTTTCTCACTTTATCTCTCACTCCGTCCCTCTCTGGTCAAATTAAAATGAATAAAAATTTTTTAAAAAATACATTTATGGGGTCCAAGTGCAGTGGAGTGTGCTGAGACATTTGCTCCCCTAGCTGGGACCACATGAGAGGCCCAGGTTTGATTCCTAACAGCCAGGTACAGCGGCATACCCCTTTAATCCTGGTGACTCGGAAAGGATGAGACAGAAGATTGTGAACTCAGGGCTGGCCTGGCTACAAAGCAAGATTCCTGTCTTTAAGAAAAATAAATAAATGAAAAAGAAAAGCCATATGTGCCAGACACATGCTTGTGGTCCCAGCTTGGAGACTGAGGCAGGAGGATCACATGGAGAGGCCCTGTCTAGAAGGAAAATTTTAAAAATTCTTTAATGGTATATATTCCTAATATTGAAGTAGTTGATGTGCTTTGGTCAGCAAGCTAAATGCTGAAAAACAAAATAGGGAATTTAGAGAGTATTGAGTCTTATTTTGTTTGTTTGTTGTGGGGTTTTTGTTTTTGTTTGTTGGAGAGGTTTTTCGCTACAGAGCGCATACGCTCGCCAGAGAGACAGAAAGCGAGAAATTACCACCACCACCACCTGGGGGGTGGGGGGGGGAAGGCCACGCCGCAATCCCCTCTCCTCTGTTCTCCTCTCCAGATCTTGGGCACACATGCACACGTGCCCAGCGTGAGCTTAAGCCACCAGGTCTGAGACTCGAACTGCGGTCGACTACGTGGGAGTTTGGTGACATAGCCATTACGCTAACTGCTGGTCCCAGTTTTTTGTTTTCACTATAGGGTGTGTATATTTGCCAGGGGGAAAGGAGAAAAGGAGAAATCATCCCTCGGGGGGAGTGGCCACACCACAGTCCCCTTTCCTCCATTATTCTCTCAAGGTTGTGGGGACACCAATGTACGCGTAGCCAGTGTTTCTCTAGGGCTCAAACCATGCAATTGTTATGTAGCCATCTTGACCACTACACCACTGGCTGGCCTTAGAGTATCCTTTTTGACATAAACAGCCTTCTGATGGGCTTTCTTGAAAATAAAAGAATACCTTGTCTAGTATAGTATTCACAGTTAACCTTGACCCTCACCGAAAAGGACATGAGAGCTGAGTCATGTTTTAGGCCTGCATTTCACACCAGAACTAGTTACCTCTAACAGATTCCAGAACATATTATGTACTTCCCTTGGTGTAAGAAGAGGGGCTGCAGGAATTTTATCCTGTGATCTGACTGTACTACAGTATGTAAGTACCGTGTGCTGTAGAATAGCATGTATGAGTCTACATTTATAGTATATATTAAAATCACATACTGGAATTTTAGTGTGGATGATACAAACATACCGAGTTTTTAGTATTTCTGTTGTATGTATTTCCTAGCACCCAATCAGATGAAGGCCAAGGAAGGGAGGAATGTGTACAGTTCTTCGCGCTATGACGATTATGACAGATACAGACGTTCAAGAAGCCGAAGTTATGAAAGAAGGAGATCAAGAAGTCGGTCTTTTGATTACAACTATAGAAGATCTTATAGTCCTAGAAAGTAAGTGTGACATGTAGCACATGTTTTAAAAAGTGTTAGTTAGAATTTAATTTTTTTAGTTTGTGTTCTCGTAGTTACATACATTGAATGCTTCATTGAGACTGGAAATATTTTAGCATTTCATATAAATTGTAGCTTGTGTTTAATATGAATTTTAAGATTCCCTATAAATAGACATTTGTCACTGTTTGCTTTTTCTGATATGCTTTTTAGCAGTAGACCGACTGGAAGACCACGACGTAGCAGAAGCCATTCCGACAACGATAGGTAAATAACTTTGCTTTGAAAAAGACTTGTATATTTTTCAATTTCAGAGTGAACTTTTGCTCTAAAAGTAACAAATTTGATTATTATAGAATCTAATTTTTACTCTAATTGTATCTCTCCTCTGTTTTGAAAGATTCAAACACCGAAATCGATCTTTTTCAAGATCTAAATCCAATTCAAGATCACGATCCAAGTCCCAGCCCAAGAAAGAAATGAAGGCTAAATCACGTTCTAGGTCTGCATCTCACACCAAAACTAGAGGCACCTCTAAAACAGATTCCAAAACACATTATAAGTCTGCCTCAAGATATGAAAAGGAATCGAGGAAAAAAGAACCACCTAGATCCAAATCTCAGTCAAGATCACAGTCTAGGTCTAGGTCCAAATCTAGATCCAGGTCGTGGACCAGCCCTAAGTCCAGTGGCCACTGACAGTATAAACCATGATCATTTTTAGGCATGTATCATTCATTTACTCATAGTTTGGTTTACTTTAAATTATCAGGAGTACAATGTTGCAATGATGCTTAAAAAACACTTGTTAGTTTTATTTTCCCCTGTACCAGACAATGGTTATAATTAAAATGAAATGCTGTTGAGAAGCCACTCTTAAGAGTCCAGTTTGTTTAATGTTATGGGCAGCTACCAATTTGTGGTGTCTCTGTATATTTTTGTAAAGATTCTCATTTTTTATGCTTGAAGTATTTGGTGAAAAGATGTTGGTTGACCATAATTTGCAACATTGTCTTATTAAAATAACTTTCATATCCATATTTGGTAGAACTGTTAACCTAGAAATGTAGCTTGCTAATAAGATAGAATGATACGAAAGTGAAGTTGCAGCCACAGTAGAACACTGACTGCTCAGACACATTTAGGTTCAAGCTGGACCTTTTTGTCTTGCCAAGATGTGTAGGCCCATGATAGTTTATTTATGATGCAGTGTGGAGTAGTTCTTTTGTTAACCCCACCGTCTTGGGGAATGAAGCCAGCTGGGCTAAGGAGCATTTTCAGGGAGTTTGAATTTTTAACTAAAACATGAAGCCTTCGCTGCTTTTTTTTTTCTGATTTCTATCAAGATTTGGAACATACAGTTACCAGAAAAACTCACTTTAAATTTTGAGCAGGTCATTGGTGGCAGAAATAATTTTAAGGGGGAAAAGAATGTTCTGTGTAGTCTGAAACTTAAAGAGCATTGTTGACCATAAATGTTGCTTAGTTTTCTTACTGCTGTTAGAAGCAAGTAAATGGTTGCAAAGTAGTAGGTTTTGTGTGTGTGTGTGCATAGTGTAAAAGAACTGAATTTTGATGCTTACAGCACTTGACACGTGCATTTGTATCAAAATTTGCCTACCTCTTCATGAAGGAGGCCTGCTCTTCACACCTCAGTTTATTTAATGTGAGGCACGGTGAAGGACAACACTCCCATTGTAGGTGATTCTGTGGTGCCATGGAATTCAAATTAATTTTGAGAAAAGGATTGGTTTTAAGCAAGAGTCACATCTGAGTTTTTGATTATCAATGTGTAGCACCTCTTAAAAGTGAGGAAATAATACCCTTAACCATTTATAATTTCTAGTATTTCTCTGAAAGATCGTTTTGGAGGCATTTAATGTGATTTGACACGTCCATCCTCATTTCAGAATGAAAAGCTAAGCATCTACTAAAATCTTAGATTGCTTGCTTACTGATATAAGAAATACTGTGGGGAAACAATTCCCTTATAGACGATTAATTTTTTTCAATTTTGGTTTTAGTAACATAGGCCTCGCCTGTAAAGAACAAAAAGATGGCTTTTAAATACTGTTTGTGGAATGTGTTTCAAGGATCGATTCTAGAATCTTTGTATATTTGATAGTATTTCTAACTTTCATTTCTTTACTGTTTGCAGTTAATGTTCATGTTCTGCTATGCAATCATTTATATGCACGTTTCTTTAATTTTTTTAGATTTTCCTGGATGTATAGTTTAAACAACAAAAAGTCTATTTAAAACTGTAGCAGTAGTTTGCAGTTCTAGCAAAGAGGAAAGTTGTGGGGTTAAACTTTGTATTTTCTTTCTTATAGAAGCTTCTAAAAAGGTATTTTTATATGTTCTTTTTAACAAATATTGTGTACAACCTTTAAAACATCAATGTTTGGATCAAAACAAGACCCAGCTTATTTTCTGCTTGCTGTAAATTAAGCAAACATGCTATAATAAAAACAAAATGAAGGAAATAATGATTAACTGGAATTATTATAGTATTGAATATGAGTCTAAAATAACAGTGGAAATAGTGCTTTGTAGATTTAGGAATATTTTTAATCAGCATTGCGCTAGGCACAGCTTTTATATTGGAAATGGTAAACCTTGCCAGAAAGCTACATCTTTTAGATAAGTAGAAGTAATTCCTTGTGTAATGTCAGAGTTGTTTCATGATTGCCCACTAAGCCTCTTGGGTTAAATAACCTAGAAGGTTATTTGTTAGTGTTAAGACACACATGAGACTTGACAGCTCTAAGTTTGTGCTTTCATTATTGGATAGATCTGTAATTCTGCTTTCCCATTTCCTAAACAAGGAGCATTAGACCTCATGTTTATGTCATGATTTAAAATTCTTTTTCATTGAATCTTGGTGAACAGTTAGTATTAAGAGATAACCACTTTGGGATAGTGGTTTGGGAGTTTTGTGGTTTTGGATTCTAGCTACTTTATAATTATAGCTGATAATTTCTTAAGTGTTTATGATGTGCCAGACCCTGTTAGTAAGGCTATATGTTAACAAACTCTTTACTCTTCACAAAACCCTATGAGAAAGACTTTTCCCCATATCACGAATAAGGAAACTAAGACACAAAAGGCAGAGCCAGAATGTGAGCCCAGACCTGGTTCTTCGATCATTTACTTATTAGTGACTGTGAGAGAAGTAGATTGAGGAGATAGCCCATTGAAATTGTTCTCAGTCTCTGTACAGCTAGGCCTGATGTTTTTGTTATTTTTTTTTTAACTTCTGTCAGTTTATTTTTAGACTAAGACTTTTCTTAAGAATCCTGTATAATGTTTTAAAATGAAATACCTAACACAGTTTAGAAAGAACTGTATTATAATTAAACTCATGGCAGGATCTTTCTGATAACTTGATGAGGATCTTTACACGGTGTTTTAAATTAATTTTGGGTTTCATAGTTGAGTCTACAGTGGTTGAGTACCTACAGTGTCTGGCACTGGCCTCAGTGCTAAATAGACTAGTCAAACCAACACTCAGGTGAGGGCTGACACTTGACATTCTTTTTACTTAAGATCTCTGCATCTTTTTTTTTTTTTTTTAAGCCAAATAAGCAAGAAGAAAAATGAGAGATAATGCTTCAGTGAGAAAGGAAAGGTGCTACATAGAATATGAGCGGTTAAGTTACCGCCCAGGGAAAGGCCTGGGAGCTATTGTACTATTCTCTTGAAATGTGGCCCTGTAAGCTGCTACATCCAGTTCAACTAACAAATCCTGTATACCAGAGAGAAGAATAAAGAAAACCAAACTGACAAACATCCTTCTTTTATTTAAGACCAAACTGCAGCTGGAATACCCAGTACAGTTCTGCTTACTACACTTCAAGAAAGATCTGAAAGCGGAAAAAGAACCAAAGAAGGGCAGTTCAAGCGACCAAAGGGTGGGTGGAAGGTGCTGCAGTATGAATACTGTACGAATATTTTGACTCTGGTCTGAAAAGATAAAAGAATGTTATCGAAAACTACATGGAATAATTGAAGTCCCTTCAAGTTTGAAAGTAAGCATTTTAGGACAAATAAAAGGAAATTCAACTTTGTACTTGTGGAAACTAATCCCTAAATATGAATAGGTTTATATTGATTCCTGGGTAACAGATCCATAGTAAATTATCGGAAACTAGGATGTCTGAATATTGAGGAAGACAGCCATAGTCTCTTGCAGTGCCTCTGTTGGTCTGTCTCAAACTGAATTGGGTGGGAAAAGATATGGTCCAATGTAAACTTTTTCTCGGTTATCTCGTAAGTCAGTTGCATTTCGCCATTATTGGCAGATTTTGCCTTTATTCTGGTGCCAATGTGTTCTGCCTAATCATTAGCTCTGTTGGCATCTGAGTTTATTTACATCTTCTTTAACCACTCGTTGCCAGATAAATTCCAATCATACTTGACACCCAGCTAAGAGGGCCCATCTCTTCTCACCTCTGTTCTAGTCAGTATATTCAGTAAATACTTACATGGAGCCCTTACTGTGGGCAAAGCACTGTCCTGGATAGTTGGGGAGAAAAAGCGGTCGTAATTTCCTGATTCAATAACTGAGCACAATCGAGAGAGTCGTTACAGTCTGGCCTTGTTTTGTGTAAGGTGTATTATTCATAACCATATTTTACACCATATCATAATGTAATTATTAAAGCCCAGTATACTATGAAAGAAAAGTTATTTGTGGTTATATGCCATTTGAAAGTATCCAGTATTTGTTTGCATCCCATTAATACCAATAATGAGAAAAATGTTTTAATCTGTAATAAATTTGATTTATTGTGCAGTGACTGTAATATACTAGAGTTATATTAAATTGTTAACTCTGCCTCATCAAACAGTTATTAGGAAATAATCCCCAAAATAAGTATTTAACTTTGCATTAGATATAAAGGAGACTCTGGGTGCTATAATTAGATTGAGGCAGACAGAGCTGTTATCCCAACTGATTTAATTAGTATGTTCTGTAATTGAGAAAATGTTCACCAGATTATACCTTTTAGTGATTTACCTGTACATTTTATAGGGGACGTGTTCTGTGTATAGTAAATAAATAACTTTTATAGTCTCACAAAATGTTTTGGATTCCTTAGTTCCTTATTAGAATACAAAGATTGTTTACCTATATGTTGCTTCCATCACATATTTGATTTTTGTCATTTTTGCCACATATCTAAAACTTCATGTAAAGCTAATTCATCTAAAAAAATCTGGATATGGAGTTAAGCCTTTATGATTATTTTGAAAATGTAGAATACATATAACTTGAAGTATGGAATGGAGGTATTCTTATCCCTGCTTTATTTTTTAAAATATTTTAAGCCTCACCCAGAACCACAGCACATAGCTGTGATCACACAGTAGTTGGGGCAGATCCTAGGCCAGAGTCTGTAATCTTTCCCTTGGTTTATTTTGTCACATGGAAAAGTTTTCATAGCTTTGTTTCATGGAGAATATTAGATTGATATAGTGGAATTTAGAGTTAGAACGAAGATGGCTATAGATTTAATTACAAAGTGTATATTGTTTCATATCTTTATATGATTGTAAGTATTAAGGTGGTTGTTCTTATGGGTAGAGGTTCTGCATATTTTTAACAACTTAATACATAGTTCAAAAGGTTTCGCCCTCCACCTCTTCTAGCTCCTTTCAGCTGAGGTTAAAGCATTCAAGGAGGGAGGATTAAGTCACATATTGAATTGAAATTTTGTTTAAAACAATTATTGGTAAAGACACGTATTAGGTTTTTGTGTTACTCTAGCTTTTTTTTGGTGGAAAATATTTTGTCATACAATATTTGATAGTTCTCTATAGTAAAGTCAGAAAAGGCCCCTGTGGTTTTGGCAACTACTAAACTAGAACTCATTGTTTTAGGGGATCTTCTGTGGCCCTTTCCATTAATATAGAAAGCTGTCATTAGCATGTAATGTGCCAAGCCACACAATTAAATATAAGACCATGCCTGGGAAATGGGTGGTAGTCTTCTATAGATGATAGTTGTCATTTATGCTCACTTGAATTTAATTGTACTTTTTTTTTTTTCATAACTCATGACCTTACAAAGTAATGAATAACTTCTGAATGAGAAAGATAGTAAATGTAATCCAGTGTCTCAGAGGTGGTAACCCAGAGATTTTCCAGCCTGGCTTTCCAAATTTCAGTTTCTTGGAAATCTTTTGTTGTACTGCATTTTGACCATATTCCTGTTTGTGAAGTCCTGTGATAATAGTATCTTGAAGAGGGGAAGCTATGGCTTGAGTGATAGCTGAGGAGTAATCAGATTCTACCAGGAGGACCATCAGAACTTGAGGAGTCCCAGGAATAAACTCTTATTTTAGCTTGTGCTATCTTCATAAGTATGGTGAAGTAAGCCACCTGTTTATTGAGCTGTTGACAATCTATTCTGAAAGTCACAATGGAAAAGGGTCCTACTTTTGGGTTTTGTCCTCTGCCCCCTTCCTCTAACAGTGTTGCTTATTTTTATTGTGTTTCTGTGTATTTGTAATAGCTGTTTCACCCTTGTATAATGATGGGCTTTTTTCTTTTTGGAATAAAATGCAAGGCATGTAAATTTATTTTATTGATAATTGACAGTTGTTTGTAAAGAAGTAAAAGCCCTTTGTATCTAGTTTTTTTGCAGATCACATTTCTCCGAATGCTGAGTGAAGAAATAAAACTGGTCTAGGAGCCAAAAACTTGTTTAGGTTTTGCTCTACCTTACAGATTTGTGAGTACCCAGGTAGACTTTTTGTTCATTTACAGAAGGTTTTAAGAGATGGACTCAGTCCTTCTGGCTTTACAGAGTAATCGCCAATGAGGTACATAACAACTAAACACTAAGAGGTTTGTGAGGGACCAGCAGTTAGCGTAATGGCTATGTCCCTGGACTCCCAAGTAGTTGACTGTGGTTCTAGTCCCGGACTCAGTGGCTTAAACTCACGCTGGGGGCGTGTGCGCCTAAGATCCCAAGAGGAGAATGGAGAAGGGATTGCGGCTTTGTGAAGTTTTGCAGAGGGCCTTTAAAAAGTTCATAGAGAATATGTGGGGTTTTTTTCAGGGGAATAGCAATTCCATTTTATATGAACTTTCCAAAGTATCCTTATAACCTATGGCCACACCCTGTTTCAGTATTAGTATTGCTGAGAATTACAAGTCGTTCTTTAACTATATAAACTGTTAAGCTAGTCCCAAATTATCTTTTCAAGTCCTATCCTCACATTTCAGTTTTTATGTATTCTAAGTATTAATCAGTCATGACAAACAAGCCATTGGGAAAAGGAAAACTTTTATTTTAAAATATCATGCTTCAAATTCATATTACGTACACTAAGTACTATATAACAGCCTTCAAGATATTAATATTTGGCTTGGGGAGTATTAATTCATCTGAATTTACCTGGAGAAATACAGTGTAGCTATTCTGCTTATAAACAAAAGGTGCCAAATTAGAAAACAGCATTAACTTTTAACAATCTTAAATTTTAAACTGACCCACAGTTTTTCTTTTGCTGTTTATTGAAGTGAACTGTAGCATTTACCTGTTATCAAAAGTATTATGCAAGAAATTACATCTTTTGTGTAAATGGTCCCCTGGGTTGCATGTACTCCCAACAAAACCCACTGGCACTGTACACAGCTGTAATTGTATCACAGGTTACAAGAACTGGTGAACACCAAAATGAATCTCTTAAGGTTGGAGGGACCCTTCAATAGTTCATCAATCTTTGGGCTTAAGGAAGACAGTCCCACAACGCATTTTACATCTCTTTAAAAAAGGAAGTTTTTTAGCAGCTTAAACCTTTTGTTATAATATGAAACTTAGTACACTTGGAATTTACCTTGAGATATAGTTACAACCAGATCAATTACAACATAGATACACTGGCACTGTAGCACAAGGGCAAACTTTAAAAACAAACTGTCTTAGACCTTTAAAATTAGGCCATAGTAGAAAAAAACAGTTCATGGTCTTACATTCAGCAAGTTCATACTAAAATACTCTTATTTGTGTACGATAAAGGCCAAGAAAACTTTACATATACTATAAGTTTATTACATGTTATTTACATGGCTCTTTTTTCCCTAGGTACTTAAGACTTTGACATTATACAACTTTCCACCTTAAACAAGTTTTGCAGAGATGACAGTGAAGCCAGATCACTGTCAAACTAGCCTGTGCAGTGCTGCCATACAAACATTATTGAAGCTACTGAGACTGACTACCAAACACTATAAAACAGGATTCTGGTGCAGTTACTGGCAAACAGGGGCCGCTGGGATATACTGGCTTCATTCTAAAGCCCCAAGTGCCGTTTCCACATTCACCATTGTAGAGTTGACTAAAAAGATACTATTCATTAAAAAATTCACATTTGCTTTTGGTAGTGAGTGCATCAGACTGTTAGCTATTCAATTATTCTCAGTCCTTAGCTAGATGCTTATCTGATTCACTAATTTTCAACCAGTAAATATGATCTATGAGTGATCACCTTAAATTACTATTTTTTCACAAGGGATGGAAAAAGCCGATTCCTGTACCATTCCCCAAATCTAAACTAAAGCGGATTCACTTAGAAACTAATTGAGAACACTTACTATCAAGTACAATTAGGTTATTTTAAGTTGCACTGGTATTACCATTACATCACAGTGCACAAGACACATGAGATAAAAATAAAATGTTTACATTAATGAGTAGTTTTATACAGATAAATCTGTTTCAGACCAATTGACAATTCTCAGTAAACATTAAATTTATGTTTAAATTTAACATTAGGTCTCAATCTTCATACCTGTACTTTAAGTAAGGTTTTAAGTTGAAATGTCATTATTTCCTTATCTGAAGGATTGAAGGAAACAGGAACCCAGTGGCTTGGTGGTTTGGGAAGAACGCTTGGTGATGGCGGCTCACTGAATTTGGCCCCCGCGTAGTTCTGACTAGCTTGAGATTTAAAAAGTAAACTGGGACTGGATAAGCCAGAGTTCCAGTTTTGATTATTTGGCAAGTTTTTGTTCTTCCCCCCATTTTGCATGGCCTGCCATGCAGCTGCAGATGAACTATAACTATGTCCTCTTTCTTTTTTCTTATGAACAATCTTCATCTGGGAATTCTGATCCTTGGTCTTCTGTCTATTAAGCTGTTGTTGGTTCTTACTAACATTTCTAGACTGAGGGGCTGGAATGTTATACCTCTCTCCACCACCCATCTTCAGCTTCTTTGTCACCTGCAAGTAAAGAGAAGTACAGAGTGAAAACCCAGTAAGGAAAGTTGAAGTTTTTAAGATGCTTAGACCAACAGTCCCAGCTTGTAGACTGAAAAATGAATGGGTTGCCCAGCTCCTTTAACTCAAACTAAAGCAAGATGTTTCCACTTGACCACACACATGGCCTGTTTATTACCTTTCCTCAGAAACATGGACTTAGCCACAAATCCAAATAAGCCTCTAAAAAATACAAACAGCTGAGGATGGATCCACCATAAAATGTCCTGCTATGGTGTGCATTTTTATACCTTTCAGTCTGCTTTTCAGATTGCAGGATTTCCACCACCTGTCCTCTTCCTGGCTGCCAAGCCCAGGGTAACAGGAGCTGCTTTCTGACGGATCCCTTCCTTTGTCTCAATGCATACGTTTTCATGGGCCGATCTGCTGAGTTCAGCCTAGGAGCTGAGGCCAACATCGGAGTCTCCTCAGCACACAAGTTTGAGAGAAGTCCTGTCTAGAAAAGTAAGATGATATCATTACTTCAACTGACAGAAAGGGGAGAAAGCAATCGCTTAGGTTTACTACAGAAATGGCTGTAATTTGTCTGAAGATGGCTTTCCTTAACCTCATAACCACCGGCATTTAAGAACTCTCCTCGGCCTTGAGATCGAGGAGCTCCTGGGGAATGCTTGGGTGTCTCAAAGTACCGCCACAAGTTCTGGTTGTTTATTCGTGGAAAGACCTTTCAGAGCCGCTCACGTATTTTTGAGATTAAAATGATAGGTTGAAATAAGGAAAGCGTTAGCCTTTACTGTCCAAGAAACTTGCTTAAAATAGGTTTTCTGGAGAGACCAGGTGGCCCACGCCCGTCGGTCTTCGTCTTTCCCAGCACGTCCGCGTCCTGCCGAGGGTTTCCTGTGGACGACCCACTCCCCGTGTCACCTCCGTCCTCACGAGCCACAACCTAAGCCGCGTCCCATCTGAAGTACTGGAGATAGAACAACTCCCAGGACAGTTCACGCTCGGGGTCTCGCTGCCGTCAGATGTCCCAAGAACCCGAGTTACCCAGCAAGCAGTGAGCCGCCTTCCCTTCCGCAGCGCAGGGTCGGGGGGCCTCCCACACGGCTCAGCGCCGCTCGGTACACGAGCGAGTTCCGGACTCGGTCTCACGGCCCAGCGCGGGCTTGGCTTCCCCAAGGCTCCATCCTCTGCCAGGCCCAGGGTCCTG